TGAACATCCAACAAAATACATAAATCATTAAATCCTTAACTTGTTTAATTAAAGTCATCAACTATTATAAGTTTTCATCCACAAGTAATTCCAAAATACATAATTGTCCAATTAAAAATGTCATGTAATCTATATAATCATCCAATTCATATCCATCTAGCATAAAAATTGTTATGTTTTAAATTTTTATCCATGCACATCTATCAAAAAATATAACTAGTAGTCTACCCAAATGTTTTTTATACACATCTATCCAAAAATATATAATCCTTCAAAAAATGTAACAAGTGCCAACTAGTTTTGTAAAATTCAGTTTCGTGCACGAGTTCATTCATTTATGCAAAAGAAAAAGAAAAATAATGTTAGGTAAGTTTTTTAATAAAAGTTATAAGCACATAAAATGATTGTAAAATTAGACAAAAAATGAAAAAGGTCCATGGAAAGTAAAGGTATACCATTTTGTAAATAAAACAACAACATTCATTTGTATGTATCCAATCAACACTACAATTCTATCAATATCAATGCACCACACTTAGAAAAATTTCAATGGTAATAGATGTATGATCCGCAGATTAAATGGTATATAAAAAAAATAAATAAATAAGAAAGAAAGAAAGAAAATAAGCTCCACATTGATCCATTACTCACAAGCTTCCAAAAAACTTTATCTATACACTTGCTACAACCAACAAAAGATTCTCCATATATAAAAGAAAACTTCTCATAGTGGATATAATAATTATAACAATTCAAACATCATCTATATCACAAAACTTATCCAATAAATATAAACAATTTAAAAATTTCATCTAATTACCCAAAAGTTTATAAGGCAGAGACTTGACAGTCATTGTTTTTGTGAAACATTCACTAAAATAGGATCTCATAATATATATACATATATTTAAAGTGTATATTTATATGTCTAGTGATTCTTGGTCTTTGCTCAGTACATGAGTCCAAAGACATGGAGATCTCCACTAAAACACATGGCTATGTCTAATTACACGAAGCCTAGTCAAAGGAAAGACTCTGTAGTCGTGCACAAGTGGGAGAATGCATTTAGTTTCTCAATCAATGCTTGCATTAGCTAAGACCTGCACGTTACATGACTTGTGATGTTTAAATACAATTTTTTATATAAATATAATAGATGTATAAGAGATATTTTGAAGCTTGAAACTCCAAGCAGATAATATAACCAGAGTAGGTCTGGCAACTATCAGTCACACCTATGGACAAGTACAAATTGAATGAAAATTCTTATTGCCCGGCCTTAATTGATGGAGGCATTAAGTCATATCCGAGCGAGAGCAACTTTAGTGGGTGTCAGTCTTGGTAACTAACCTAGTAGGCTCCCACCTCAAAATGGGCAATATTCAAACAACCATCTATAGTGAAGGTAAGCATTTATTACGCACTGCTTGCTCTTACAAGTTTATTTAATTTAAGTCGAGGTGACCGTGATGATCTCGGGATTGTTTGGAGACTGTTTCCAATTTTCGCCCCAAACGTTTCTTTTTCATCTTTTTCTCACATTTTTTTTGGTCTAAACTCTAATTGTGCGTCCTATCGACATGCTGTTTATTCTTACAAGTTCCTTTAAAAATATTAAATATATATATATATATATAATTTATTAATTTATATAATATTTCTTTTTCTAAATACGTTTAAAAGCAAATCACTACACAAATTCTCAATCGTATGAGAAGGGTGAGAGTGTAGAGAAATTCTTTTGAATAAATTTTAAGGCATATATTTTGATAGGATAAAAATAATTCCAACATACATTAAATTTTAAAAAATTTGAAAAAAAAAAGAAAAAAAGTTTTGAAAGCACCAAAATAGACTTCTCTTTTATTTTCTCTTCATTTTCCTTGGACCCTAACCCACCTACTTGTAGCCTCTCTCCTACCTTCTCTGGCAGTGGCAAACCCTCCTCAACCCTCCCTATTGTCACCATCCCCTTTCTCATCTCCCCTACAACTAATAGCGCCTCTCCCACTCTTCCCTAACCTCCGCAACCCATCGTCACCCTTCATTTCCCACTCATCGCCTCTTTCTGCCTTGCCTTCCCCCCCCTACCTTAACCCACTCTTCTCTGTATAACGGCACTGATGACGAACGAATCTCTCTCTCTCTCTCTTAGTTTGTAGATCATGAAGGCTATGATGGTAGTTATGACCAACGACTCTCCCTCTCTTGGTTTGTAGATTGCAGTAGCTAGAGTTTGAGATAACATATTCTAACTAGGGTTTGATCTTTACTCTCTGTTTCATACATATATATATTATGTAAAGGTGGCTAGGATTTGATATTGCAGCTAGGGTTTGAGATGATGATTGAAGAAGGGGAAGTTGACGGTTTGAGAAGGGGTTGCAAAGGTGGGGAGGCTACGGGTGGTCAGAGGAGAGTAAGGAAAGGATTGGGGTAGTTAGAGAAGTATAGCAAAGGACTGGAGACAACTGAAGAGGGTAGCCAGAGAAGCAAGAATGATGGATAGAGTACAAGGGAATGTGGGGGAGGAGTTTGTGATGGTAAAAGATGGCTGATCGAAGGCGAATCTGGATCCTCGGTCGTTTTCCTGTAGCGCCCCAAAACGACGTCGTTTTGGGACAACTTTTCAAGAAATAAAAAAAAAGAAAAGACTAAGAAAGGAAGAACAGAACTCAGAAAGGGGGAAGAACCCATTAATGGCGTCGAAAAATGGGGCAAATTCCTGCAAAAATGCACTGAAAAGTGCAGTCCTCCATGAAGGGATCTTTGGGCTTAACCTCAGTTACACACAAAACACTGCAAACAAGAAGGGATAACTAAATAATTACAGAGTAAAAATTGAGAAACTAAATCTGGGGAGCCCAATGGCCAAGCCAGATGAATCCCATTTGATAGCTGGTAGATAAGATAAATCCACAAAATGGCAGAAGTAAGATGAATCCCATTGATACCAAGCAAGTTAGGTAATTGGGGGGATCTGATCTTGTTAAGACAAGTGAGGAACATGCCTGAGTACCATCCATGGATTGGTGTTAGGAGGACGGAGCATAGATCTGCACAAAGGGCAAGTGACCCTACCTTCATCCACCCATCTATCCAACCAATCTCTGTGAAACACACGACTGCAGTTGCACAGATCTCTCATCTCATGCCGCCTATTAACCCCATTTTTCGACGCCATTAATGGGTTCTTCCCCCTTTCTAAGTTTGTTTGTTTGTTTGTTTTTTTTTTTATTATTTATAAATGAAAAGTTACTGACGTCGTTTTGGGCACTATAGGAAACGACCGCAGACAAGAACGACCGAGGATTCGGATTCGATCAAAGGCTACTTGTGGCAGGAGAGAAGTGGCTGACGACAAGTAATGGCCGCCAGAAATAGTTGTCTTTTTGGCTTAAGATTCCGTCTTTTTGCAATTAATTTTACAAATTTTATCTTTATTGCAATTTGAAAAAAAAAAAAAACTATATTGAATTGTAATATTCTTCGTGGGAGATGGGGTTACTAGAGAAAAGTTAGGGATCATGAAATTTTTTTCATGAAAATGATCATGAAAGAGTTATGATCTTTGGATTACTTTGATTAGTGTGTGGTGTTTTATTCTAAGTGTAATTCAAGGGTCATAAAACTTTCATGATTATTTTCATGAAAGATTTTTCATGATACCTAGCATTGCTGGGGTCACTACTGTGCTGAAGGCACGACAGTGACTATTGTGCCTCAATTTGAGGTATATTATGGACTTATTTTTATAATCTAAATCGTTCATTTTATAGGGTTTGTTGAGTACTTCATGTCTTCTAAAAAATCATATTAATCGGATATCAATAAATATATGATCGAATTGCATACTTTTTATATTATTTCTCAAAAGAAAAACCTATTGTTTATTTTTTGATTATCGATCATATAGTTATTGATATCCAATTAATATGATTTTTTGATGGGCATGAAGCATTTAACAAATTGTACAAAATGAACAGTTCAGATCATAAAAATAATCCCATAATATACCTTAAATTGAGGTACAACAGTCACTGCTGTGCTGTGCCTTTAACACAACAATGACCCCATTTCCTTTTTCGTGTAATTCCATTTTACTACAAATTTTTCAAAAATTTTGGCTTCTCTCAAGTTGAGATATGATTTGTGAAGCTTGTCACAAGTTATGTTTCAATGATCTAAATTATTTATTTTCTAATGCCTTTCATATATATATCATCCATGAAAACAATTAGGTCCATCTAATAATTATAGACTCTTCATTTTATTGCGTTTGTTTCTAAAAAAATAAATGACAAGTGTGTTTTTCTTAAAAGAAAAAAAAATAAAAAAATAGGCTGTCCATTTTTTAATATTTTATTTTATTTTTGTAAAGATGAATGTAATAAAATGAAAAGACCAAGATAATTTAATCGAACTAATTTTTTTCGTAGATGATATACATAAAGGACTCCACAGCCAAACTTAAAAGAAGCCAATCCTCTTTTCAAAAATAAAAGAACAAATGTTACGGTTGAAATGAGAGCAGTAATATTTCAAAAAATAAATAAGCTGCAAGCGTGATTTCAATTAAACGGAAAGATTTCATTGTAATTTACACCACTTTTGGATTAGAATTTTTAAAAATAATTTTTAAAATTTTCTAACCGTATTCTATTTTTTTAATTTTAATGATTTTTTTTTCAAACATTTTAATCAATTTTCTTTTTAAAACTTTTTAGATCTACTTAATCAGTTTCAAATGTCATTTTCATGGGACCGAAGTTAGCTTTTCGCATTACCTTTGCTTCAATTAGTTACAAATTAAACTGACTAAACCCAACCTCAATCAGCCAATTCTAAATAACAAAACTTCAACTGAAATTCTATCAACAAAAAATAAAAAAAAAATAAAAAAAAAGAAAGAAAAGAAAGAAACTCTGTCGGTGTTGAGGGAAAAACTGCCAAAGGAATCTTGTATAGGCATGATGCAGAGTGATCAAATAGGCTTGGAATGTCCATCTCCGGCACTGTGAGCATGCCTGAAGTTGAACATACCACCAAGTCCTTGCCCTTTTGCTAGTTGCTCCACCTCTGCAATTTTCTGCTTTAAAATTTCCACTTCTCTTGCTAGATCTTCATCTCGTTGCTTCATTGCCTATCATGACAGCGACATAAGTGACAGTCTCAGACTTACGGAAAATAAGCTGAACTTGTTAATTACATCAACTTGGATAAAAATACTGTCAGAGTACCTGTGTTTAAGATGTAACATTGAGCTGAAAAACCAATGCCTCCAAATGAATAGACAAAAATAAAACTAGTAAAGCAGCCAGCACTAACAATAAAATAGTTTAGCAACAAACAACACTGCCAATGACATTAATGAAATTTATTTTTCTTAGCGACCTCCATTACCCTTCTACTCTTCTTATCTTCTTTCACTATCATGTCTTCTGGTGGTAGAATTCAGCTATCTCGGGGATGTTCTGTCAAGCTTATGCCAATTTTAAAGATATCTTCATGCAATTTTGATGCACCATAAGCTGGTGCAATTTTATGTTTATTATTGATCATCGAAGTAAAGAGGTAATGGGCAGGACTTTGCAAAATACCATGACATGTTACAAGAAAGATAAATACTCGTATAAACATTAGTTCAATCAGAAAGCCCATCAACTGTTTGCTCAAAGAAGTAGGAAGGTCAATTAAAGTAATATGAAAAAAAAAGGGTCCACGAAAGTTCTAAAGAACAGGATATTCCAATTAACCTGCATTTCTTCTTTCCCCAGTTCCTCCTTCCTAGCTTCTGATCTAGAACTTCTTTGCACCTCAAATATGACAGCAGCCCCTGCAACCTAATTAGACAGAACAGTGCACATAAGCTTAGTTTGGAATATTATCAACACTAAATAGTATCATGCAGCCAAAAAGAAGTATGGTACAGTAGGAGGCATTTACCATACTAAGTGCCACCTAGGAACAAATAAGGATCAGAACCACTGCTGAATATGTCTAATGCAATACCTAGGCGACTGTCAGATAATTCAACCAGCCAACATTTCTAAATTGCCTGAAGAGAACTCAAAAACAAAATATAGGTAAACTTAATTGTGAGATTATGAAAAAAAAATTGTTAAAAAGCCTCCTTAATTTTCCAAAAATGTAATCCCATCGACATGCATAAGGTATGATCAGGGGCGGGCCAACACTTTTGGGGGCCTAAGGCAAAATTTTAAATTGAGACCTTTTATTTCTTAAATGTTAATAATGATTTTTTTTTTTAATATTACATTTTGTTTGTTTTGAGTTTTTTTAATTTTTTTGTGATGCAAAATTACTAATTAATCTTTTGTAAGCTTTTCCAATGTGTCTTTTTTAATTCATAAAAGGGAAGACTTTTATAGAGCATCTCCACATTCTCCTTTCATTTTTTTTTTATGTGAGATTCCATTACTTTTTGCAAAATTGAAAACTAACAAAACTGAATGTGATCATTCCAGTTTCTCAATGAATAAAATTGAAGGATCTAGTTTGGTGCTAAATTTTCTTTAACCCCAACAAAACCAAACTAAATCGCTTACACCCCTTGTGAAGAGAAGAGAAAAACACACACACAAAATAGGTGAAGAAAAATAAATGTACCTTAAATGGGCATTCAATATAATTTCATTATTATCATCTTAATTGCGCGTGTGCACACACACACACATGCGCGCGCGCGCGCACACACACACACACACAAATAAATAAATAAATAAATTATGGCCTTCAAGGAAAACGGGGCCTAAGGCCACCGTCTCAATTGCCAAAGGGTAAGGCCGGCCCTGGGTATGATGATGGTCAGCCAGTCAGCCTACTCCTGGTCTGTAAAGTGCAATAAGCATGTTGATGAAATTATGCAAATAAGAAGGCAAGAAACATTGTCAGATGGAACGAAATTTTTTTAAGGGCTATGCTTTCATTTATGTTTCTTCTACAAGCACATTACATCATTAGTATACTAGGAAGGAAGTTATTTTTCTTACGTTTCTACCTGTAAATGGGACAAAACACTCCTTCTCTGTGTCCACTCCAACTAACTTTAATTTGGTTCTTCAGTGTCCCTGCATGATCAATTGCCAAAATTTGCGTTTCCCTTCCTAAGGTGGTTGGTCTGGATGAAAATTAATGGATTACCAATGGCCATGTGGCTTTTCTATGTAAAACAATCATACTTTTAAGGTAGTCAGCATATCACCTAAGAAATAACTCAAGCCCGTATCAAAAGTTTTTGGAGTTTTTATTTTTTATTTTTGCCATCTGGAAAATGTTCTCTTATGTGTTGAAGCTGAGAACAGCTCAAAAATGAAGCAGCATCCAAGAGGATTCTCAAATTCAATTGATGTGAAAATGCATTTTAAAAAGTAGTTGAAACCCTTAAATTCGTGATACATTGATTGCAATTTGGATTCAATTTCACCAATCACTCAACCAATTGAACAATTAACACAATCAAAATACAATCTCATCTAATGCAAAGAAAACCAAATTAGATCCAAGCAATTAAGGACGAGAGATTTAATATGGAAAAACCACAATTGAACTCCTCTAACTGTGATTAAAAAAAACAAAACAAGGGCCAACGGCCACCAAAGCAATGCACTATGAGGAATACGAATCACACAGAGAAATTCTCACAATCATCTAGTGAATCCATGCCCCGATTGACTCAATCCCTTGTGCCTCTTTCAATGTTGTCGTCACCGCATAATTGCTTCTCCAATGCCGAATCCACAACGCCAATGTCGAAATCACGGCGATGAGCCACTCCGGAATCCATAGAAGCTTCCAAGTTCAAGTTCTCAAAATCCACTAAAGAACGCCTCTCTCGAAAATTTTAATTGGTGTAGAAACACTTGATGATCTTTAATATATAGCTTATAGATCCATTGATCACTCATGATTTCATCAGGGTATAAATGTGGATCTCACTAGAACTTTCTATGTTTTCACCAAAGTTTTTAAAGGCGAATGCGTACCTCAAGACGTTTTACCCCTCATGAGGTGAGGCATAAGCCACAAGGCGCTGAGGCATAAGCATTTCGAATATCAAATTTTAATATTTAGTAAATAAATTAAAAATTTAAAAATAGTAAAAAAATAAAAATAAAAATTAAATATAAAAGTGTAAATACCTTTTGCCTTAAGGCGTTGAATATTTTACTGCATAAAAGGAAGTTTTTATTCACTGAAAGTGAAATTGATATTCTTAACTTTAGTGATTGAGCTTCTCACTTGACCATTAAATGTGTTTTTTCTTGATTGATCATTTATTTAATTTTTCCTGGAGAATGTAGTTGCAAAAAGGGATTCTTTTTTTATTTTTTATTTTTTATGTTTAAACAATCTAACAGGCTAAGTTTAACAAAAACCCAACGCAACCTTTGCATGTGCGTACTCCTCACATGCTTATGCGCAAAAAGCAGACAAAGCGCATCTAAGGCTCATGTCTCAAATTGTGATACGCAAGCCTTTGGGGAGTAATGCCTAAAAATCAAAGCCTTGATGAGTTTTACCTTAACCTCGAGGCAAGCTAAGCATCGAGGCAAGCCTCAGGAAAGCCTTTTAAAACTCTGGTTTTCACACTTCAGGGATGAAAGCAGAGTCTAGATCCAAATCTAATCTCAAATGCGCAGTTATAACAGAATTAGATGCCTTGGACTGCTTGAGCAAGCTTTTTACTGCTCGGGCAAACTTTAAGACTCTGCAGGATGTCTGAAGGAAACTCTGAGAAGCTGAAAGACTAAATGGACTGCTTGAGTGAACTATGAAACCCCACACAATTTATCACTGAAGCACTGACAAACTGCAAGCATGTGGACCGCTCAAGTGGTTGGTGAACCCTTGTTGTTTCTTGATCTGCAGGTCTGATTTACTGCAAGGGGGGAATGAATACTCGATAATCACTCGTTGATAGCTCGAGCGAAGAACAGAACTAGTTAGAACACTAACTAAGCAAGCTCGAGTCAAACTAGATTGGATTCACATCTAATAACACTCTCAACTCACAAAGGTAAAAGAACAGATGCTAATTCGTCACAACGATATTTGTCAACACAAAGTACAACAAAAAGTCCAAACAGTAGTCACCACTGTAGTTGCAAGTTTACACAATCAACCATGCTAAGGGTAAAGCACCAAGATAGTTGTTTCATCTATCATTTATGTGATGCATATGGCTGACGCAGCGGAAAATATCACACAAGGCTAGATATCGTTTAGCAGACGAAGAACACCTTGAATCTACGAGGAAGAAACGAATTCTCAAAGAGAAACTGAATTATATTGATCAAAAGTTATTTTGCCCCAAGGCACATACCATTATTTATAATAAACGACAACCTAACTATACAAGGAAACAACTAACAGGCTAATTTCTTGCTAAACACAAAAATAAATAGAAAATTACCAAACACAGAAAATTTGAGTTAGCTTACCTTGCCTCGAGGTTAAGGTAAAACTCATCAAGGCTTTGATTTTTAGGCATTACTCCCCAAAGGCTTGCGTATCACAATTTGAGACATGAGCCTTAGATGTGCTTTGTCTGCTTTTTGCGCATAAGCATGTGAGGAGTACGCACATGCAGAAACCCAACGCAACCTCTGCATTACAACCTCTGCGATGAGTTTAATTTAAAATGCCATTTCCAATCAGACTACTAAATTTGTAGGGATTACAAGCTTGTCACAAAAGTGACTCTTTTATCCTCAATTTGACTTCTTTGTCTTTTGCTGGTCCAATTGTTTCAAGAATTCTTCAGCTACTAGTACTACATCAATGGCTCAGCTAGCTCTCAGCCTTAGAGATGGGGCTTTCAAGATGTGAGTTATGTGTTGTAGGGAAGTACATGGAATCCAAAAAACAGTTGACCCCCTAAAGACAGATTTCTGAACAGAAAGGATAGAATTGGAGCTCCAATTGAATAGCTTCCTCCCAGCAGTCAAAAACTCTCCTCCCTCTCTAGCACACGAGTTGAGCTACTTGAACTGCATCACACAGATATACATTGATAACAAAAATAGTTTACTAACCACTTACATGAGAATAAACAACCATAGCCAATCACATCACCGCATAAAAAGCCTGACCATCCATTACAAAACACCTAGTGTCAACCAGTACTTGATTTATAGAAATATATGGAACCTTATGGGCACAGATGTTCATGAATATAGGTATGTATGCATAAGAACTTAATGCACATACTGTGAAGCAAAATGCACGCTCGTCAATCACCACACGGACATGCACACTCCAATCACCAGTACAACAAATTGAAACCAACTAGTTCAGCATTTACTTATGTAAGTGCACACACATGCATAAAACATACCACAATCATAATCCAACTCCACAGAAGAACACCCTTGGATATGCAAACAAGTAGATTTCACAAAAATCTCAGATGCTAAAAGGAGCAGGAAATCACATTATATATACTACCGTAAATACAAAGAGTTCCCCAAGAAGATCTGCAGCAGCTTGGACAGCTTTTTCCTCATTCAAAGGGCGAATTGCAACATCAGTTGCATGGCCGTATATACGTCTTTGCATGTTTGTCATGAATCGATGATTTGCCTGATATGATAAGTAAAATCAAATTGTAGAAATCAGATCTGTATTCTACATAAATAAAAAAAGTATGCACTACAAGAATTTTGATTTTCTTCTGTTATAAAAAAAAGTAGATACAATTAGCTTACATTTTGTTTATATAATTACCTTAATATATTGCTCTTCAAATTTATGAAGTTCAAGGGAAAAATAAACTAACCATTTGACTACATTACTAGTCTGAGTTACAGGTGAAGCTCAAATGAAATAGAAAATTACAAACCAAGGAATATAACCATAAATTTGATCAGGGTAATAGAAAGGTCGTCTATAGGGTTAAGGGAAATGCATGACAAAATTCATGCTCTCTCTACTGACAAACTTTTAAGTGAATGTCCAAGTGATGAGACGGAGACACAACCAATTGGTTAAATGGTCTCCACTTGCTTTGATACCATGAAGAAACTCACAGAAAAATAGAATGAACAAAACTGAGCATTGAATCAGTACACACACACACACACACACACACACAGAGACACACACACACACACACACACACACACACACACACACACACACACACACACACACACACACACACACACACACACACACACACACACACACACACACAGTTAGAGTTGCATTCATGCATGCCCTGTGAGCCATTTGATTAGCTTGATGAGCTGAATCACTTACAATAAGCTGGGTTTTGAAAATCATGAAGAAAAAATGGCAGAATGATTTCAATGTAAAGCCCAAATATAAATACATCAACAAAACAAAATGGGAACAAGCTTAGAATCTAACCCAATAAAGTAATTTTCCAGGTCTCAACATTTTTTTAATGTTGATTCACAAGTTCACTTAAGTAAGTTCTCAAATAAGCAAACACAGTAAGCAGGGGTGGCACCACTAATACTTGAGGGTATTCATATTAATATACTTAAAAAATTACTAGTAATAGTATATGTTTTGGATGACATTTTGTTACTTTTGTACAAAAAAAATTTAACACCCCACATGCCACTTGTCACCTCTCAATTTTTTTTGTACATGTTCCTCTTTGTTACTTTGAAAAAAAATGTTTGAACATCGTAAGTCGTTGGTTGGAGCCTGCTTCATCAAAATTTTGAACCTTTTCATGTCTAGCCCACTCCATTTCACACAAAAATAAATAAATAAAATAAAATAAAATAAAAAGTTATACTTTGTTACTTACTTCCAAACTTTAACATGTTTTTTTAAAAAAAAAAAATTTTGAAATGTCTAGCCCACTGAGGTCTCTTATGTTTGTTGGGTTTGATGTATATTTGTAGTTGTGTGTGGACATTCTTTAATAGTTGAATGTACAATTTCATATACTTCTTATTATATTGTAGTTGGGGTCTTTCTACAATACACGCCCTAAAAAATGGATGCACCATATGCCATTTATAACATTTTGTATTTTGTGATGTTTACTTTGTGTAGTAATCAAACTACTTTCGGTCATTACCAAAGGGACCATAATCAAAATAAAAACCATAATAGGTCATGCAATGGGGCATAACCAAATAGCACAAAAGGTTGTCACTGGCTACAATAACGGATCTACTATTCGAATTTTGGATGGACAAAAACACATATAACTTCTCACCTTTTGAAATTATCTTACTAATTAGTAGCATAATATACATAATTTTTATAATTTTTTGGGGGTGCGCCCAGTTAAATCCATCCTTGACTGGGTACATAGTATGCCATTAATTAGGATATGTATCATATAATTTTCCTTTATAATTTATCTTCTAGTGATTGAAAAAATAAAAATAAAAAAGGACAAATTACACCGATAGTCACTATATTTTGACTATTGTGTCAGTTTAGAACTTTAATTTTAGATTTTGTATCAATTTGGTTCAATTGATGATATCATTTGTATTTCCGACAAAAAGTTATTACTGAATTGATTGAGGATAACTCACTGCGTTGAGCAAACTTATAATTTTACCCTTAAAATCATGACACATGCCATTTATGTGTATATTTTTTATTAAAAAATACTAACAATTGTATTCAATTTGACTAAATTAAGACAAAGTTATAAATTGCGGGTCAAAATCAAGTCAATAGAAATTATTGCGCCAAAAATGACACAAATACAGGGACAGTAAGCTAAAATGAATTCGAAATGCACAAGTGCTTAGCCAGCGATAAAAAACGTACTAATCGTGTTTGACAGATCATGATAAATAGGTTTTAAACTTATAAATTTTACAAATGTGTAAAATAAAAATTATTTAGTCTGGTTAGTTTGGTTTCAAAATTTTACTCTTAATTTCTTTTAATAATATAAATCAGTTTGATAAAAATAAATATTAAAAATATTTTTATCCTAAAAAGAGAAAATTATATGAAGGTGAGTGTTTTTATTTTATATTTCATTTTTTTCCCACCAAACTAGCTTTTAATTTATACAATTTTTTCATAAATAAATTTGAAAAACAAAACTAAACTGTGCAATTACATTTTAAAATCTAAAACATAAAAAAATAGAAAATTACCATGTATTGCTTTAAACTGATAGTGTAGTAGAAAATTTTCCGAATAAAAAATGTTACTAAAAATCTATCCGAGTGATAAAAAATGATTTTTAAAGAGTAATACTATGAATCTCTAGAAATTATCCAAAATCTTTATTTTGTGATTTACATTTATTGTATATATAGATCTTACACTATATAAATTAATTTTCACTACACAATCATCCATCCAAAATCTACCATATTTGTTTTTCAAAACGTTTATCAACAGCTAATTACTCAGTAATCCTTATGTCACGAAGTTTCGTTGGTAAAGACACCCACTACTCCTATCTCATAGGCTCAAGATTATTGGAAAACTTAAATATAAAAATGATACATTATCTGATTAAATCTTTAAAAAATTGTGGCCTTTAACATTAAATTTTTATTTTTATTTTTTTGGCAAAATTTATTTTATCTACCTGTGATATGATTTGATAACACTTTATCCACTATCTTTTAAAAATAGTCACATGTCCTCATGTGGTTTGGACTAAAATATAACCATTAACACCGTTAACTATAGATGTGAAATGACTATAATACCCTCAAACCCTATATTTTTATTATTTTCTCTCTCTCATCTCTCATACACATAATTTATAATGTCTACTATTAATTAAATTAAATCACAATTAATTATAAATTCTTAATTATTTATTGTAATTCTTAAATTTTTATTCTATTTTTAATTTAATTATATTTTAGATCACAATAAATCCTAAATATCCAACTATTTGATGTAATTAATAACTTTTTAATCTAATTTTAATATAATTATATTTTAGATCACAATTAATCTTAAATTCTTAATTATTTATTATAATTTCTAGCATGTTAATTTAACTTTAATTTAATTACATTTTAGATCAATTCTTAATTATTGTTTATTTTATATTTTATTTAATTATATTTTAAATCACTTCTTAATTATATTTTAATTTATTTTATTTTAATTAACATATTAATCTAATTTTAAGTTTGGAGAAAATGGGAGTAAAATTGTCCTTCTCTTGTATTAATTTCATTCTAACTTTTTAGAAAACAAAATCTACTCTCAAAATTGGTGTGCGTAATACACTTTCGTTTAGTTCAGATAAAAAAACTAATAGTAACACTTTAATCCAAAATCACATAGAGACTTTTTAACTATATTTAAACAATAAGAATGTAAAATATTTTGACTCCAAACTACAAGGGGTTAAAATACATTTAATCCTTAACTTAATAGTTAAGTCATCTCAGGTTCCATACTCTCACCTAAATTATTGTCCTTCAAAAATTTTGGACCACATTTTTTCATTACAAACCTTTTTTCCAAAGTTTCCAAGAAATTTCCAGCTACTTTTTAACTGGAAAGTTTAACTTCATAGCCACCACTCCTTCCTCACCATGATTCTTTGCGGGTGTAATGGTGACAGACCTTTTTGTCCAGGAAATGTCAATCTTAAAGACTTGAAAGTTCACACCTATGAATCAAAAAAAAAAAAAAAAGGAAAAGAAAGTTCACACCTAAATTATTGTCTTTCAAAATGTTTTCAGTCACATTCAAGAAGTCACTTTCTATCTAGAAAACGTGTCCCCTGATTTAAAAAAATTAAAAAAAAATTAACACAATATTCATATACGCAATGTTCGACGACAATACAGAATTAAACACAGAAACTGTTCTACTAGATGACTAGTCAGACATTTGCACGAACAATCGAAAGACACCATGACAGCCGCGATCGATAAGCTCTAGCCAAGATGACAGCTGCAGTTGACAAACTCTAGCCCGTCTTCTAGCTGGAGAAGAAAGTTCCTCCATCGAAATAGCTTCAGTTCTTGCTCGAATTGTAGTCTTCAAAGCATCAAATTCATCTGGTAAACCGTTCAAGGTGAGAAGAACTAGATCTTCTTCTTCTATAGGAGAAGAAGCAAGTGCAAGTTGATCTGCCAGAGTTTTAATCTAAGACAAGTATTCTTCAATTGTCTGAGAGCCTTTAGTCAGATTATTCAAACGATTCTTCATTTGATGAATATGACTACGAGACACAGTAGTAAATCTTTTACAAAGAACATTCCAGACCTCTGCACTGTGTTGCAGATGCAAAATAGAAGAAAATATCACAGGTGTGAGTGTAGCTGTAATACAACTCAGGAGATGTGCATCAATCTGTTTCCACTGTGCATAATCTGGATTGATTTCTTCAGCTCCATCAACATTTTTGATTGTTAATGATGGAGGAGGAGAAGAACCATCAACAAACCCTATCAGATTTGTAGCACGTAGAATATTGAGAACTTGACTTCTCCAAATGATAAAATTTGATGAATCTAGCTTGACAGTTATAAAGGAATTGAGATTTGAGATGAGAAGACTGAGATTTGGAGGAAGAGTGCTTGAGGTAGTCATTGAAGATAGGGAAGAAGTCATTGAAGATTTGTGAAGCTTCTTGTAGATGAAGAACTACAGAGAAATTGATATCAGAATTTTTTCAAAATGTTTTCAGTCACATTCAAGAAGTCACTTTCTATCTAGAAAACGTGTCCCCTGATTTAAAAAAATTAAAAAAAAATTAACACAATATTCATATACGCAATGTTAGACGACAATACAGAATTAAACACAGAAACTGTTCTACTAGATGACTAGTCAGACATTTGCACGAACAATCGAAAGACACCATGACAGCCGCGATCGATAAGCTCTAGCCAAGATGACAGCTGCAGTTGACAAACTCTAGCCCGTCTTCTAACTGGACGACCAGATGCACAATTTCTATGTTCAAATCTGTGTTCGATCGTCTGTGCACCTAGACTTCCTAATAGTCATATAGATGTAGATTCTAAATGTTCTATACATTGTGGGTCTCACATTTTATGCAACTATTATACAAAATATTTGGTAATTTTTTTGACGTCTCTAATATTGTTCTTTCGTTA